TCCATGCGTGGGAATTCTATTTAGCTTCATGGTCCTTCAGCTTGTCTTCTGCTTGGGGGGAAATAACAATAATTATACAAATCGTAAACTCAACACAATCAGGAAAAGAAACCCAGACAACCATGTTGTACTTCTGTTGAATACATTTTGTAGCAGTGTGTCACGTCGGAATATTGTCTAAAATAAAATATTCAATCCCAGCCAAATCTAGGTCAAAGGGTCAGATTGCGTGCATATAATTATAGATAGTTAAAACAAAAAGTATTTGAACTTTTGAGGTTGTTCAACATCTATGCACGGTTACTAAACTAGTAACCGTGATCTATGAAAACCAGAAAATTTTTAGTAGTCCGAATTGTTGCACGGTCGAAAATAAAACGGAAATTGACCAGTCAAAAGCGGTAGCGGTCAAGAAGTTTGGGGGAAATGAATACAGTACTTCTTTGTTTGATGAAGCGATGCTGATGCCACATTGTCGCCATAATGAGGCCACAATGAAGCGAAGCGATAATCGCCTAACTTTTTAATGTCGCGACATTGAAGCGATGCTGAAGCCATAACAATGCCATAATGATGCGATGCTGGAGCGAAGCTGACGCTGAAGTGAAGCCAAAGCTTCCGCGAGAACTGTACTGTAGGATGTTTGCCTAACTATCACACATACAACACTTACTGACTTATCAACTCTCTATGGAGCTAGGATGTTTGCCTAACTATCACACATACAACACTTACTGACTTATCAACTCCCTATGGAGCTAGGATGTTTGCCATACTATCACACATACAACACTTACTGACTTATCAACTCTCTATGGAGCTAGGATGTTTGCCATACTATCACACATACAACACTTACTGACTTATCAACTCTCTATGGAGCTAAGATTTTTGCCATACTATCACACATACAACACTTACTGACTTATCAACTCTATGGAGCTAGGATGTTTGCCATACTATCACACATACAACACTTACTGACTTATCAACTCTCTATGGAGCTAGGATGTTTGCCTAACTATCACACATACAACACTTACTGACTTATCAACTCTCTATGGAGCTAGGATGTTTGCCATACTGTCACACATACAACACTTACTGGCTTATCAACTCTCTATGGAGC